GCACGAAATCTATGGTGTTTTGGCAACATATTAGGAAAGTCTGTGACTTAGAGATCATTGTAAAAGCTCTTTTCAAAACATTTACGTCGCTCGTTGGAAAATAATCCAAAAGCACCGGGTGTGTACTTTCCTTTGTACGTCACTTTATATGGCGGCGGTCTGTAAATAATCGAATCTGAACCAGACAACCAAGTGATGAACAACATGAGCATCGATCTACGCAATTGGGGTACGATGAAGTGTGTCAAACCAATATATAGTATGACCAGAAATTATTGAGAATTTTAGGAATATGTTTAATTGGATTTCTAGTATAAACAACCTTGACCAGCTATCAAGTGCTTGGTTTCATTCAAGAGAGACAACTCCGTTAATCCTTTTTTCATTAGTTTGTGAAGAGTTATCCCCCCTTTGTTTACTTGCTAGCAGACGGTATTTCAGTGATCCTCAGTATGGATGATTTAAAGAAGAGGAAGTTGATTTTAGAGTGTTATAAGAAGGACATCAGATCAGCTAAAGTGATTTCAAGTAGAATAGGCATCCCTTTGTCCACTGTTTATTGTGTTTTGGAAATATTGCAAATGGATATGGTATTGAGCACCACGGAGGCGCAGGTAGGCCCAGTAAATTGACTGTCGGTGACTGGAGGCGGCTTGGTATTCTTGTTTCTAAAAACAAACGAAGGAGTTTAGAAAACTTAAGGTTGGATAAGATTGATAGAGGAACTGTGGCTGTCTGTAAGGAGGCAATATGAACAGTGAGCGGTACACAGATATTCTCGAGGGACATTTACTTCCATCTGCTCACGTGTTCTATGGAAATGTTTGGATTTTCCAGCAGGACAACAACCCAAAATATCGTTCAAAGCATTCACAGGCCTGGTTTCGGACCCAAAATATGACATTATTAGATTGGCCAAGCTATAGCCCTGACCTAAATCCAATAGAAAATGTTTGGGGACTTATGAAGGAAAGTGTCAATAAGACAAATCTGACAAATATTGCTGAAATGAAAGAAGAGGTGGTCCGATATTGGGACAGCAAGGACCACGACTTTCTAACTTCTTTGATCAGTAGTATGCCCCGCCGCATTGAAGCCTGCATTGCTGCCCATGGTGACTTGACAAAATACTAACTGTTCACCTGTCTTTGAATCTGAAGTTATGTTCTGCTAATATTCACATTTAATATGTTAGTCATGAGTGAAAAAAATATAAAAAATTACAATCTTTAAATTCTCAATAATTTCTGGTTGTACTGTTTATGTTGCTAAATAGCTTCAGTACCAGTCGTGTTTACAGTACAGTCTGAAATGAGGCCGATGGTGCTGTAGTCCCGCACGACAGTTGATATTGAAGCTCATCAAGAGAACGTTGAGTTCAAGCCAGGTTTCCACATTCTACAGCAATAGCCATTAAGGCGGGATACAGTAATGTCATTGAACTATACATAAACCGTATGTACAACGAATGACAAATAATTGGTAAATTGCTTTACGGAAATTGCATCCGTTTTACTTTATAGCGCATAGTATCATTTATATAAATATTATCCATCTCATTATTTCGATGTCGAAATGCATTTTTTTTACAAAATCAGCATATTTGTGTACTGTGTGCCTTTGTATAGTGGCTGATTCGGGCATTTGCTTTATCAAGAGTGTGACCTTTGAAATACTGTGAGGACATTATTGGGTATACATCTATTTGGTTCATGTATTGTTTGATGCCCCTGCAGTTTCTTTACCAATCTCTCTGGCATATCTTGCAATCGATGTCCAAAATATAACACAATATATATTGTAATATTTCTCTTTCATGTTGTTCCTAATAAGGACATTTCCGCATTTATACATCTGAACAAAAAACGTTCATTTTGGATTTCGATTATTTTTGCCACCTAATCAATTTTGTACAATCTTATCAAAAAGCATCCATCGATGATGTGTGTACGCATGACTAAATCTTTTTGTGTTGTGGAGAAGCTTTGCTGTTTCATTTTTCCTTGCTGTGTTGTCCCACGGTTGTGCGTTCTATGGCGTATTTCGTCTCCTTGTGATGTAATAGCATGCTCTGTGTAGAAGTCTGTGTGATCGATTTTGTACATTGTGTACATGTTATTGACATGAATTCAAAACAGTATTCATGTCCTTTACATTACAACTGGGTTCTGTCATCGATTTCAACCACTGAATTGTTGGCAGATACGTAACTATTCTCCCGTGCATTTGCACCAGTTAAAATAAAAAATGTGATTCTATGCCAACAATCATGGGTAAGAATCAACCTGAAGCATTTGCATTTTGTAACAGATGGAATTGTTCGCTGCAATCTCTTCGGCCGCCTAGGGAGATATTAGCTTGAAACATGAAACATTTATAGACAGCATGACTCATCTCCAGTGTCGTTTGTCTTGTTGCACCACTGAAATATCACTATCACTTATCATATGTTTCTATTGAATAATTGCCTTGCATTTGCGTGTGTTTTGGACATATATCAAAAGTAGGACAGGGTATGCTCATCCTTAAGCGAACACCGGATAATAACACTATGCCATTTGTATTATGTACGTCTAATTCTAAATCTCTGGACGCCATGAGTAATAAATACTGTACGCCATTGACAATAAATACTGCTCTGGGGATGAGTATCTTTTTGCAAATTATTTGTGACTACCTCGGATTGTACGAAACCAGGAAATCCCACATGGTTTTATCAAAGAAGAGAAGTATGGAGACTCACTGGCCTATTAAATAATTGGGCGATAAGAATGACAAAGCCGAAACAATCAATCATTTCAGAAGATTGATGTTGGCACGTAACATGAAACCCTTTTGTTTTTGTAGCCTCTGAAGCATGGTGATCAAATTATTTAGCGGGAAGCAAGTCTTTCTTAAAAAAGGTCTTCAAAATCTTCCAAATATTGTCCAACTACAAGTTCCAATATAATACTTCTATATCATTCAGTTGATCACATTTGTAAAAGACCACGTTAAACAAAAACCAAACCAGAGCCAAAGGTCAATACCATGATGCCAACATCACTGCACAATTTGTGGGGCCATTTGTAGAACGCATTTGGCAACATTTCATGTTTAAAGATGAAAAGGTACATGCTGGCGTGACCAATTCCTCCAACAGCAAATCATGCATAGCATGCGATGACCAGTACCCAACCGTGGCCGTTTTCCTATTTACCACATCCGGGATATCAACATCAACGTCAAAGTGAAATCCACCGACTACTCTCAATGAACTCGGTGCTGCTCTTTCTGATGAGTGGAACAACCGGTCAAGATGACACTCACTGAATTATCAGAAACAAGCTCATGTTCGTGTCTTGTTTGTTTCTTGTTGTTTTAAGTCGCACTCTTTAAGAAGCAAAATTAATAATAATAGTAATTGTTGATTTATAATGCGCTTTTTCCATGTACAAGGCACATGCTCAAAGCCCTAACACAATGTGATATTATTATCTCGGATAACCCAAGCTGCCTGTAAGGGGCTAGAATGTTAATAGTCGCATGATTTATCCCACCGGGTGCCCATTCTTGCTGCTGGGTGAATAGAGGCATGTTTGAACTGCTACAGTGAGACCACATGTATCACCTGCGCTTCTTTGTGAGGCAGGACTGAAGTCCCAGAAACTCTCAGGAGTCAAGCTGCCAAACAGATTCACCCATCCAAGGACTCTCCGCGCCCAACGTTGCTAACTTCAACTGATATGTGACCTGAGCTCTACGCACAGGACCACACACCACCATAAATTCCATCTACGTGACTTCGTCGACGTGTTGCTGCCACACCTGATACGTATATAAGTAGCCATGGTAACAAAATGCAAATTTCGAATTGGCCCACGAACCTCTATAACCTATTGCGCCATCAACTGATAATATTCCACTGATCGCCAACTTCAAAGATATGGTCATTTCTATTTCCCTATTTATACAGAACAAAAGAAATGTATTGATGATTCTCAGTATCCCTTACTTTTTTGGTTCAGTATATCTCGATCGACCGGAAGTAATTAATATTTGTAGCAACTATCCGGAACGAAAGTCTGAAACAGCTTCAAAGGAGCGGAAATGTTGTGGCAATTATATACTAAATGTATTTCACATAATGACTGTATTTCCTGTCCTGTAAAAGCGAATGTAAGCATCGCATTAATAAATAACAGATGTGAAAATAATTAGTACAATTGGGACAATTGGGACACATATCGATGCTATTTACTGTGGTTGAAGTGGTTGAAGAACACTTAATCTTTCCATACGATTATGTCAATCTGTCAATACCAGCTTTCAGTTGTCAAATGACTTGCATTTCTGGCTTAGAGCAGCATTGTTATTTGTCGACGTCCAGAAACATATGATAAAAGGTAAGTGTCCGCACTAATAGGTTTCCTGATTTAGCAACTAAGAAAATGTATTTCACTTGTAAAATTCCCTGTTAACGAAAATAAACGTTACGAAGGAGTTCAAGTGATGCTAATGACTGCGTCTAGTATTGGCCTGGGGAATCTTTTATTTAGTATGACCTTTTCCGCAAGTCCATCTCAGAGTCATTGTATACCTAACGAAGCCTACAAGAAAACCCTTCATGAGTTACCATCACTACTTCCCTTTGTCGACCGCTTCCTTTCAACCAATCAAATTCAACACGGTGGCATCTTGCCGAAAATCGATTGCTTGTCTTTGCAGACAGCAAGGGTAGGTTTCACCACAGCTTTAACTCCTTGGTAGACACTACTTTTTGCAATACAATCAACACATCATCAACACAAATATTTCAGATCATGTTTGTAACAGTCTAGAAGTATAACATAACGTGACATTGTGAAAGGCACCGTATTGTCTGTTTACTACATTAAGTACCCGACTCTATTGTTATGCTGTCGATATGATAAATTCATGAGAAGCTTTCCATCCAGATCGATCTAAAAATCATTGTGTTTCGGTTTCCATGTATATCGCCTGGCGGGTAGAAAATCAATGTCGAGACAAACGCGTTGACAGAGAGGCAAGGCAAGGCACGGACGCGTGTTCAGACCCACATTTGCTTATATCCGTCACGTTACACTGGGATTTGAAGATAATCCGTGGACAATATAAAGGTAAAGTTGATATTTACTGTTAATTACTTAGTCCATGTCCATGTTGTGGCCAGACAACTATAGGTGGTTGAACAGAGGGAGGAATGACACTGGAAGCTGTGTCACGGAATTGTCAATACCTACAGTAGGTAGTCATTGATCGCCTCACTGCGTGATGTGCACTAGCATCGTGATCGTACACCCGTCTCTTCATCAGGGATATTCTGTTGGCATGATCACCAACCGAAAGACTAGCTTCACTCGTTCACATGCATATTTCTAATGTTTCCGATAAGTATGTACATGCAAATGGGTTCAGCAGTATGAAAAGTCACACATATACATTTCACATGTTATGACGTCCATGTCGGCCCAGAGCACAGTTCAATGGATACATTGGTGAAATGTATACTCTGACAATTCAAGACATGGGAAGTCAATATTAATGTTCCCGACTTGTTGTCACCAACGTCGTTACAATGTCAATCACTATGGTGCAGATGCTGTCACGGAGTTGTTATTTTGCACAGCTTCTATTTCCAAGTAGACATGTGCTTCAAACTGAAACGGCGCGGTTGGGTAGCCTAGTGGTTAAAGCGTCTGCTCGTTACACCGCAGACCCGGGTTCGATTCACCACATGGGTACAACGTGTGAAGCCCATTTCTGGTGTCCCCCGCCGTGATATTGTTGGAATATTGCTAAAAGCGGCGTAAAACTAAAAGCTCCAAACTGAAACATTAAACTCCTTGAATATCCTTTCACAACGGAACCAAGGATTCCAAACAAACGTACCACTCACGTCTATCCACACGACAAACTTTCGTTTACACCCTTGTGGTATTTCAATGACTACATGACGAATCATTGTTATCTGTGAGAAGCACGCCATCAGTCACACATATAGTTGAGGTATATCGTACAAGCAAAGTTACAGTGCCCATAAACCATGACTTTGCTATGTATATTTGACGTTGCATATTGAAGAGTGAGTGAGTGAGTTTGGTTTTACGTGAGTTTGGTTTAGCAATATTCCAGCAATATCACGAAGGGGGACACCAGAAATTGTCTTCACACATTGTACCAATGTAGGGAATCGAACGCGGGTCCTCAGCGTGAGCGAAAGCTTTAACCACTAGGCTACTCCGCCCCTTTATGTTGAAGAAAAAACGTCTACTGTCACACAATTTAGACGTTCTGTATTACCACTAGAAACTGAAAAGGACAAGGCTCAAACATATTGCTTGAAGAAAGAGCCTTTAAACTTTGTTATCAAACCAGGTAGAGTACGTTTTGTTAATATATAATAATGAGTATAATTATAAAAGTTATCGTTAATAATGTAGTTGAATTTTTAGTTCATGATACTTTTTAAACATACAAGTCTTGTAACTTCCAAAACATGGAAAACATATATTTTGAGTATTCAATATTCTCGCCCATGGGCCAAAATGTTTTTCGCCCATTGGCGGATTTTTTAATATCGCTCTAAATTAGTCGAATTAGTGTCAAAATGAGTTGAAATTTGTGTCATGACGCTTACAAACATACACTCATTCATTTACAACCCTCCGAAACATGGAAAACACATATTTTGAGTAAAAGTAAATATTCTCGCCCATGGGCCAACCTATTTTCGCCCATGGGCGAGTTTTAATATCGTTCTTAGTTCGTCGAATTAAGTCAATATGAGTTGAATTTTGTTTCATGATGGGCGAGCAGAGTATAATTATAAATAATGTAATAAGTATTAAATGTTTAGAGAATACCTTTTACGGATACAAGTTTGGTAACACACAAAGGACACGTTCAACATTCTAATGTGATGTGGAAACAATTACCTCATTAGGCACAGTGCTAAGTATATTTATACTGCTTTTCAACAGAGAATGTCAAGCCACCATTATAAATAATGTCATAAGTATAAAATGTTTAAAGAATACCTTTAAGGATACAATTCTGGTAACATCCAAGGACACGTTCAACATTCTAATGTGATGTGGAAACAATTACCTCATTAGGCACACTGCTAAGTATATTTATACTGCTTTTCAACAGAGAATGTCAAGCCACCAGTATAAATAATGTAATAAGTTTAAAATGTTTAGAGAATACCTTTGACGGATACAAGTTTGGTAACACCCAAGGACACGTTCAACATTCTAATGTGATGTGGAAACAATTACCTCATTAGGCACACTGCTAAGTATATTTATACTGCTTTTCAACAGAGAATGTCAAGCCTGAATATGTAGACAGTTAATAGTACCTTTGTCATATGATAGAAAGTGGTATTTGTGCGTCCGTGTATGTGTACAAGAGCGACACGTTTCATTCATGTATTTGCAATGGCGGGTGTTGCCATCAATAATCGAGAGAATGAACCTCCTTTCTATTGAGATAGGGCCGTTTACAACCATGGCCATGTTAGAATAGTGTCGCTGTCCCCATCTCATCCACAATGTCATAACTTTGGACGAATGTCTCTCCCTAATGACAGTTGGATGGTTAATTCTATCGTCGTGCCATACGAACCCGGCTCATATACGAACTATAGTAGCGATGGGTAAAAGAACTTATCATAACAGATGTTACACCTTCGATAATCGAGGATGGGACACATTTGCTTCATAGGTGGCCTAGTTAGGCGCTTCAATTTGGGGTACAGAGTTGCGTCCCCTAGATATTTCCGGATTATGTTTCCATGAGCGTCTGCCTTGGTGGACGTGTTTGCCGGTATACCGAGGTGGTTAACGTCCAAGACTTCTTTCAGTGCTCCCATGTCCTATACTCGAATTGATGTAATACAGAACATCAGTGCAAAAGAACACCCAGCTCCGACTATCCTCATAGACATACTCCGCCCGGTGTAAAGTGAAAAATAGCTGTGAAAATTACTTGAATGGATCACTGAAATCATTGATGACACCAGGTGTTCGCAGCACCCGCCATTCACAAGATCCGCCGAAAAATGGAAGTAAACTACTGGGCAAAAGAAAGTTATCACCGACTTCATTTGATAAATAAAAAATAGAAACAACGACGTATGTGAGATTTATGATTATTATTTTACAAAAGAAATCATTTTCCATTAATTTGACTGTAAATTCATTGTAATGCTGGTCTTATATTTGACACAATTCGTTAAGAAAGAATCAAGGGGTCAAAAGTAAAAATTACACAAATTAGAGTTCATTCACATCATGAGACAGGAGTCATCAATAGCGAGCGTGCCCACGCTTGGCATCCATACACTCCAACACACGTCTCCTCATTGACAGGTACCCTGTTCCATAAGTCTAAAGAGTCTGTTTAAGTTTCTGTCGGATCGCTGGAGGAGGTACACGCTGTCTCAACTGACGATCAAGATGATCCCAGAGATGTTCAATGGGGTTCAAGTCTGGAGAACGCGCTGACCAAGGCAAATCGTTGACGGTAGTCTCGAACAATTCTGGCGGTGTGATGACTTGCGTTGTCGTGCTGCAAAATGACTCCTCTTGGCTGTTGGCACCACAAAAGGTCTCAACGCTTCATCCCTGTATCGTTGGGCATTCAGATTTCCTCGGATGACTACCAGTCTTCTTGTTCTCTTGCCACTAATGTTGCCCCATACCATGACGCCTCCTCCATCGTACGGATCAACTTCTTGAACGCAGTTTGGCACCCGTATCTATAATCTACGTGGAAAATCTCGAACTCTGCCATCGTTTTTGAACAGACTGAACAGACTATCATCTGTAAAGAACACTCTGTCCCATTCACGTCGCTGCCACAGACGTACAGTCCATGCTCATTGCTGTCTGCGTTGACTGTATAGACGGGGCAAGACTATTCCACGGAAGGGGCGGTAGGCTTGTATACCAGTCATACCAAGTCGTCGAAGGACTGTTCGTCTTCTGATGGCGTGTCCTAGCGCTGTCGCCGCCGTTGACGTCGCCGTCAATCACGAATCTGTTCCGGGTGTGGATCTGCCAAGTGTAGCCGGTGTCGTGACTCGTGGTCTTCCCGATCTTGGGCTATCTTTGGCTATCTTGCTGATAGCGGTTTATCAGTTTCCTGATGGTTGCGGGGTGGTTGGGTAGCCAAGTGGTTAAAGCGTTGGCTTGTCACGCCGAAGACCCGGGTTCGAATCCCCACATGGGTACAATGTGTGAAGCCCATTTCTGGTGTCCCCAGCCGTGATGTGGCTGGAATATTGATAAAAGCGGCGTAAAACCAAACTCAATCAGTCAGTCCTGATGGTGGGTTCGCCGTAGTTAAAGGATCTGGTCAGCTGATGTTGTGATACCCACACATTGCCATACCGATCGCCCTGTCTCGTTGCGCTTGCGTAAGTCTTGGCATATTCGTGGTGGGTACTGCATCCTTGCTCTGTCCAACATCGATATTTTTGCTACAATTATGTAGGTGCATTTGAACCAATGTTCCACAATTACGTGTTTCAAGTTTTGAAAAATGCCTGATTCGTACGAAGTTTTCGTACAGCTGTGTTGTTATCGGGACCATGTTGCGTTTTGGCGAATGTTTTCAGCTTGGGTTCAAAACCTGTACCGGCGTTTTTACTTTTTTTATACAATTACTTTAAAAGCGATATATTTCTTTTGCCCGGTAGTTTATTTTGTGCCTAACGCAAAACTAAAATGTTCTCACTAAAATGAAACTGATTCGATCATGCCAGTATTGTTCACAGTGAAACAATAAATTTTATGTTCATCAACAAAAATGTAATCCTGATTTAATGCTCACACATGTGGTTGATTTTCAGCAAGAACAAGTATAATTCATATATTTAAGATTTCAAGGATATCATAGAAATACCTTATTTCACAATACGGCTATTTAGACTAAATGATTAATTCCTAATTACCTTCACAATGACGCCATAGAATAAGATCCTTTCAAATGACTTATACCAAACTTTGATGAAGTTATAATCACATATTAATATCGATTTGGCACAATATTTTGATTCTTATAATTTAAAAAACTTTGGTAATTATTTCTTAAAAATAATCTGACTGTT